ACTCTTTCCTGCCTATGCAGGGGGTCGGACTCGATGATCTATTGAGGTCCCTTCCGACCCTAGCAACTATGAATCTATGAATACATCACTGACTGCGTTAGAGCTTTCTCATTATGCTGTCCAGAAAGGCTATGAACAGATGTTGTCTTTGGAGCAGGAGTAGCTGCACCAGGATATGTCCCAACAGAGCTGATCTGCCTCACTGATGTTTACAGATGTTGCTGGGGACCATTTTTACACAGGATCAGGCCCCTGATGCTCCAGGTGCCAGGCCCCAAGTTGGAACACAACAGCAAGATACATGCACAGTGGGAATCACTTGCAGGGGATCCTTGCATCCTGTGTTCGCAAGTGGGGACATCCCCATGCAGATTCTCCTACTTGTAGATGTGTGTCCCAAATTGGGGAATGGCAGCCTGATGCACACACCACAGGAATCCGTTGTGTAAACACATGAGAATTCACCTGCAGAGGAATTCCCATGGCTCACAATTAGCAAACAGACATCCTCCCATCTAAGGTGCCACAAACTGTAACTAAAATCTTTATGGCAGCACAAGGGCAACATCCGTTTGCACCCTAAGAAATGAAGCTGTACCCCTGCTCAAGGAAGGACCTGCTCAAGTCCCCAGTAAGGTCAACGTGGGCAGATCAGAATTTATGTAAATAATTATAATAAATGGAATGTTATTTAGAGTAACGCAGTTGTTCAGCCTGAGTTACACCCTAGGGCTACATTTTCATCTGTAAGAACACCACAAATAGAGTGAACTCAAAAGTAACATGGAAAAAGCCATGACTGTGAAGAGCCTAGCCAGTCACATCTCTGCCCAGCCATGACAAAAACCTGGGTTTACTCCAGTTTTGTTCAAAGACAGCAGTGCTTGTGGGGTATGTAATTCTGTCTATAACAGGAAAGAAAGACTTCCTTACATGACAAAACTGCAACCTTTCAGGTTACTTTAAACACAGCACTGATGGGCTCTGAAAGGTATCCTATAAACCCCTCCCTATGAAAGATGATGGCTTCAAAGTGCAGTTCTCTTAGTAGCCAGTGGTATGTTTGATTATACGTTCTTATATACAAGCACAGAGCAAACTTCCAGGACAGTATGGTTTAAGCAGAGTGAGCAAGCATGTGCTGAAGTGATGACTTAATTAGGGTGGAATGTGCTGAGAATTAAAAATAAAAGAATAAGATAACATGCTAATATAAGCTGAAAAATGGTTGTTAACCAACTGGCTCCAGGACATCTAGAGAAGGCCAAGAAGAATAATAGGGTAAATAAGAAAAGTATAACCAATTGTTTGGTTATGACATATCACCCTTTCCTCAAATCTATACAGAAAATCCTCAAACAAGTGCAACCCATACTAGAAGAAGATCCAATTCTTGAAGAGATCTTCTCAGAACCCCCCATCCTAGCCTTTAAACGAGCACCAAACCTCACTAACCTCATCACCAGAAGAAAACATCCTACGGCCCAAACACACCGAATGGATCCACACCATGCCATGACAAGAAATGTAAAACCTGCCAACATATCTCCATCACCCCCACAATTACTACACCTCACAACAAAACCATCAGCATTCCTGGATCTTACAGATGCACCTCCAGAAATGTAATATATCTCATCCAATGCACCAAATGCCCTGATGGAAAATACGTAGGAGAGACCAAACAACAACTGCGCACCAGAATAAATGCACACTGGAAATCTATCAAAGACAAGAATACCCAATTACCTGTGGGGGCACATTTCTTACGAGAAAACCAATCTCTCTCCAACCAATCTCTCTCCAATCTCTCAGTTCTAATCCTCCAAGGGAATTTACAAAACACTTTTCACAGACAAACCTATGAACTTCACTTCATCAACCTCCTGGATACAAAAAACCATGGATTAAATATAGACATTGGATTTATGACACATTATAACCTGCCTAACATCTGACTCTCCAGGTACCTCTCCACTATTTGCCTGCTACATTCATCCCCCTTTGCCCCGCCCCCCAGCCTCTCTCACCCACTGACTCCTCATTTTACATTTTCACTGATTGGCTTTCTTGCATGCATACCAGCCTCTGGCTTCTTTACTATTCATTCCATCCAGGAAGAGCACAAACCAACTGCAGATGCTTCCTCAGCCTGACAAAGGGTATTTAAAACCAAAAGCTTGCTAAGAAGAATTTTTCCAACTATTTGAGGTGGTTTAATAAAAGATACCACATTTACCCAAAGAACCTTGTCTGCCTATAACCAATTTTTGTGCTTTGGAAAGATAAAGTAGGCAGAAAAACAGGTGATTTACAGACTAGATCCAATTGGTTTCTGGAAGGGCTTTTAGGTGATATCTTTTATTGGACCAACTGTACAGTTGGGAGGGATGTTAAGAAAGCCTGGAGCAAAAGAGGCTATTCCTCAGGTATTCTGATGTGAATGGAAATCTGGGGGGATAAAACAGAACAAGAGAGGGGTTCTTTTCTAGAGTTAACTGAGTCACTAGAGCCATCCAGTCCGAAGCATCCAAAATTTTGCCCTTAATATCCCAGTTGTAAGTATTCAAAGCAAATATTTGTAACAGTTCATAGAATCTTAGAAAATTGGGGTTGGAAGAGACCTCAGCAGGTTACCTAGTCCAACTCACTGCTCAAAGAAGGACCACCCCCAAACTATCATTCCAGCCAAGGCTTTGTCCAACCAGGTCTTAATAACCTCCAAGGATAGAGATTCCACAGCCTCTCTGGTTAACCCATTCCAGTGCTTTCCTAACCTCCACGTGAGAAAGTTTTTCCTAACATCTAACCTAAACTTTCCTTTCTGCAACTTGACACCATTGCTCCTTCTGTCATCTGCTACCATTAAGAACAGTTACATCTATTAATAGTAACTGCAAACTAATACATGATTTTGAAGATGTCTGGTGGTTTGCAGATAGTAGTACTGCTTTACTATTTCACAGAAACTCTCTTCAAGTAATCCACAGAGATATAATTAAGTCTTTTGATTTAATACAGTATTACAATCACTGGCATGAACTATCAAATACCAACATTGTGTAAATGACATGTACTTTCAGCTGAAAGGTACAAAAACAAACCAAACAACTGAACAGGAGTACTCATGACCCAGGCTGGGCTCTGGATTACTCATAATTTGTTGCTGTCTATGAAAAACTCAGGGGGGACTTGGTGGCAGCCTGTAAGTATATCAGGGGCATACAGCAGGGCTTGGGGGAGCATCTATTCAGCAAGGCCCCCTAGGGCAGGACAAGAAATAACAGGCAGAAACCAATTGAAGATTGCTTCAGGCTAGACATAAGGAAAAAGTTCTTCATAAAATGAGTGCTGAGGATTTGGACCAGGCTCCCCCAAGAAGTAGTATAGTCACACACCCTAGCGATCTTCAAAAAACGTCTCGACCACAGCAGTCTTTCCTGCCCAAGTGCAGGGGGGCTGGACCCAATGATCTGTAAGGGCCCTTCCAGGCCCTAACAACTATGACACTATGAAAAAAATACTATTTATTAACTTTCAAGATCCAATCAATTACCCACCTGTTAGTGACAGAACTAGCATTTCAGAGCATGCAGATCATTAAATCAGAGCATTTATAAAGAATAACAAGCTAAACCAGAGTGAAGACAAAACCTCACTCACTGTACGAGACATCTGTATAGAAAACAATTATAAAAAACAATGCTACATCTGCATTTTTTTACTATATTTAAATGTAAAAAAGGGAAGCTGTTTAACTGGAATCTCTGTGAAGACAGTTTGTCTATTCTAGCTCAGCTATGCAATATTAATTATACAGTTACAGTGAGACTGACACCTTTGCTTTTCCAGAGCATATTGTACAGAAAACAACAAAACAGAAAGTTGAGATTTTTACAATACGAAAGTAATTGTGGGATTATTTGGGACACAGAGCATCTGTCCTGTTTTCAAGAAATACCAGTCTCACAAAATGTGAAAGTATATAAAAACCCCTTTCTGCCTCACCATCCCTTCTCATTAGGTGTCCAAGTGTCCAATGTGCAGACATGTGTAATGGTTTCCTGCAAAGAAAATACAATGATTTTAATTCCTATTCATCATTTCCTTTTAATTCTAAAATTCACTGACATCTACATCATGTGGCTTACATGCATTTTATAAAAGCCATGCATTACTTTGAGAGCTACAAATTAATAGACAGTTAACAGTTCTTACAATTAAGAGACATATGAAAGAAAAGCCCTTTTATATGATGAAAGACTGAAAAAATTGTGACTAGCATAGAAAGCCAGAAGGGACCTTTTTTGACCTCCTGTAAAACACAGGCCAGAAAACCTTACCCACCTGTTACAAACTCACGCCCAAAGGAGGAAAATTTGGGGCATTCAAGGAGTGTCATGAATAGATATTTTCCTGAATTAGACTTGCTAATATGGTGTTGGGTCTCTGTAGCTAATGTTAAGATGAGTTTAGTTTTTATCATTTTTATGTTTCCATGAACCATGATATTTGATGTATATGTATTTTTGTATTTTAAGCAGGGATCCTGGTTTTCTATTTAAAAATCCCAAATTCTCTAATTAAAAAACCCCACAAAAATTCCAAACGATCTGATTAAAAACACCCAAATCAGTGTTTTTTCTGTGATTAAAATGAAACATCACTATATATATAGGTATTAGTTGAACACAATGTTTTATTAATATCTTTGCAATTTAAAAGCAATTTGGAAACCTACCAGTGCCTCAATCATTATAATAAAATAAAGTCTAAATACCTATATATTTTGGCATTTGATTTTAGTTTTTTTATCATGGAAAATCAGAGCTCCCGCTCCCCACTTTGCTCACCAGGACACAGGTCCAGCAGCAGCTGTTCCTCCCTGCCGCTTTGTGGTGCTGAGCAGCCTTGATACACCAGTGCCCTGCCCCTGCCCATTTTGTTGCCTCTCACTCCCAACCCACAGACCCCACATCCCTTCCAGTGCCCCTCATTCCCAGCCCACAGCCCCCTGGTCCTGCCCCTTACTTCCAACGCCAGCCCTGCTGGTGCCCCTCACTCTGAACCCACAGCTCCCTAGTCCTGCTGGTGCCCTAGTGTGTGGGGAATAGGGTGGGTGTGTGGAGAGGGGGGGTGTGGACACAGGTGACATGTCAGGGGAGATGGGGGAGCACAGACAATGTGTTGGGGGGCAGGGGAGGGCACACCTTGGGGGAAACAGAAATCTGGGAGCCATGTGCCTCTGATTCCCCTCCCCAAGTGTCACCTGTGCTCCCCTGCCACTCCCGCACCGCACCTGTGCCCACTCTCCTCTCCCATAGACTTACCTGGAGGGAGCTGCTCTCCACCACACTGCCTGGCTGCCACATGCAGGTGTGTGCACACGCATGCATATAGCACCCTCTACCCCCTGCATCCAGCTCCTCCCAGTCCCAAGAAGCCCATTGCAGGCTGGAACTCTGCCAGCCTGCAAGGGGAAACGCATGGCTTCCAGGGTTTTTCTCCTTTAAGAGAGAAAATCTGTGTTTTTCCACAGCAAATGGGAAACTCAGATCCCTGTTTATAAGGAACTCATATTAGCCTGTCAAAGGATTGTTGGTTAGCTGTCAGGATGGACAAAGACTATTTGCACCCCACAAGAGGAACAACGCTTGGTTGGCTGAGGAAAAGAAATCACTGAGAGTTCATATGAGAGATGGCTATGCAGACATGAGCTGAGCTGAGGTATGTGAGCAGAGACCTGTCCCAGACAATGGGTATTTACATTTCAAACAGGAAAGGTGTTAGTTGGGGGAAAGTCTAATCAAAAACCTTTAAATAAATATGAGTATGCGACTGTAACTCTCTGTCATAACTGATAGCTAGGGATACTGGATCAGGTGTCTGAAAGGATGTAAATATTTCCTAGGTAAGACTGCATCAGGAAAGAAGCCTACCCTGACAAGCAGGGCTCCTGCCAGGGGTGCCAAGCATCCGGCCAGCAGGCAGGATCTGGGCTGTGGAGCCAGGGCAAGGCTGCCTGCTTGTTGCCTGGACCCTGCCCACATCCCCCCCCCCCTGTACCTGACCTGGCAGCTGCTCCAGGCAGGCTGGGCCCTGCCTGCACGTGGCACGCATCCCGAGTGGCTGCGCCGGGGGCCGCGTGTCAGCCAGGCCCCGGCCGGGCTGTGTCGCACACAACGCCTGCTCCGGCCGTCCGCGACCCGCTCTCACAAGGCGCTCGCAGCTGCTGTGAGCAGAGCGGTGCCAGGCGGGCACTGGGGCAGGCGGGCCGGGGAGGGGAGGGGGCCCCGGCTCACACTACACGTCCTCCGCCGCCCCGTCCCCCCGGCTGAGCGAGGCGCACCGCGGGGACCCGCGCGCACCTACCCGGGCGCGGAACCAATTGCGGGCGGACCGAAGCGACGCGCGCCGCCAGGGGAAAGCGGGACCAATTCGAGAGCGGACCGAAGCGGCGCGCGCGGACGGCGGAGGGACCCAATTCGGGGTCGGAGCGGACCGGGCCGGGGGCGTGGCCAGCTGAGGCTGATACCACC